TAATGTTAGCATAATCCTCACCATTACCTTTTTATCAAATCAAACTTTCTACCAGTCACTGGAAGACCACGACATTCAAGCCAACGTTTTAATTGGTCTACACTATGATCCCTGATGGTTTGATGGTGGAATTTTGCCCCTGGTTTATCATTTTCGTCTAAAGTGACAAGAGGTATTTGATTCATTTTGGCAGTGTTTGTCCGAAACATGTGGGCGGGAGTTGACAGGCGGCGGGGGCGTGTCTTAGTGACGTCATTCAGATAGTTCGCTATGGAAGGGAACGGAAAACAGAAAAAGTACTGATGCACCAAAACTCTTGGAAAAAAACTAAAAAAAAGATACTTCTCTCACAATGAAGAAATGTACATGTCACATTTGGCATACGCTGTAGATAAAATCTTTCAGGTTGTGCAAAAAGACAGAAGTTTGCAACATGTTAAGGTTAAAAATATACTCTGAAAGCTGTTACTTTTATTTGTGCAGCGCTTTGGAAACGTGTTGAGTAAAATGTGCTATATACAGTAAATAAAGTGGAATGGATTGGATTATTACTGTAAAGTGGGGCTTGCAAAGGTAGCCAGCCCACCTAAATGCAACCAAGTGCCTTGATTGCTTACTGGAACTGTGAAGTACCATAGAGTCAACTTGAGTTTAAAATAATCCGACTGATTACATCTTTAGTCACAGCTGAAGTGAAATAATGTTATAGCATGGTTCAAAAAGATAGTTATGCATAATATGTACCCTTTAACATAGCAGACTTCAGCACATAAAAGTATATCTTCATATCTGAGGATGTGCATGGAGACAGATACTAAATTTCATGCAGCTCGCGATCCGGGTGGTCTCAGGGTGGTCCCTGTCAGCCCTGGGCGTGCTTGTGTGTCTGTGGGATGATGGATGAGGAGTCCTTGTAGCATTATCGATTTCCCCTCACATTTTGTCTGAGAGCGGGCGGCACGGGGCTCGCACCGGCTGCAGCGTGCATTCTAACTCAGCCCACCTTTTGGCAAGCACGCACAACTAAAAGTAATAATATGAATTGCCTGATACAACTCAACTAGTTAAATGTGAGGAGAATTCTTACATTGAAAATAAATAGCGTAGTTGATAAATAAATAGAGTAATTCATAATTTAGTACTCCTTGTTAGAATGTCCCATGAGGAGTAGAATAGGCAAAGAATGGCTGGACAGAAAAAAAGCAGATAAGGTGGACTTTCTGTAATTAGTAAATAAGTTTCCACTGCAGAATGTATAATATAAATGTTCTTTGCTACTGGACAGTGCCAGGTAAACCAAGACACATCTCACTCCCCTCAGGGCTGAACGTGCCAAAAGCAAAATCGTGTATAAAATTGCGTTAAAATATTTGAATACCAATTATCATCTTAAGCCTGTTTCACCACAGACGAATATAATTTCACTAGTTACTACTACTCGCTCTGCTGTCAGAACAATATGAATTACTATACTTTTCTGCAGAATGTCCCAGAAATCTAAAGCCAACGTGGTGTACAACAAAAAAGAGCAGTATTGTATGAAGTGAAATGATTAATTCCCTGCTATAGTGACATTTTTCTGTTCTAAATGTGCCTGGATTTGGTTTGAAAAAGGATTAGACAAAGCAAAAAGCTAATTATAATCAAACCTCCTTGTTTTGTTTCCAGCCCAGCCACAGCTACATCCAGAGTTGTGTTATAGTGTTTCTAATGTTACAAGATGTTTCAACAGCGAGTGAAAAAACTAAGTAAGAATGTTAATTGCACATTATTACACGGCTCCTCACAGCAGCAGCTGAACGCTCCATTGATTTGAGTGTAATTTCAAAACGTTCTACAGGTCATTATCTCTTGAACCGGACTGGTTCGCCCTGTCTGTACTTGCTTTCTGATACTGACACAATATCCCTTAAATAGAAAAAAAATGGGGGGAAAAACATGGGCCTGCTGCTGCAGTTACCAGTCCTTGGTGGCTTCTTTTCATTGTCCGTTGAGTCCAATGGCTCCTCGCCTACAAAGTGGCGCTGGCTTGTTTAACAGACAGTCTAATGCGCTCCATTTGGCTTGGCCTTGTGTACTCAACACACCGGCTTTGTGCAGTGAGGAGCACCCAACGAGACATAATGGTGCAGAGGAGATTGTGTGCGTAGCAGCGTGAAGAAGCGACGGTATGGCAGATCAAAATGATGTGCCATGATCAATATGAGATTTTTCATGATAGCCAAGGCCTTCACATGGGATGCACTGATGTGATACTGGTGTCTAATATCAACCAGGAATATGTAATGAACTGGATTTGGAGTCTATGGATTGGTTAAGCTAATACCCGGCTTGAGCATTGCCATTTTAGTGTGAATCTTGTCCCACAAGGCTTTTGCTGTTTCCTTTGGGGTTGTTTGTTGGGACGGCAGTAACCAGCTGGACAGACTGATGTGAGAACTATGCTGGAAAAAAGGATGAGGAGCTTCCTGTAAAGCATCCAGAGTAAGTCTGCAGTAATCCAAATATTCTGTCTAGTTTATAAGACTCAACCATATTGCAGTTTGTTAACGTGGCCTCAGTTAACATAGTAGAGAGCTGGCGGAAGAGGGAAAAATTGCAGACCGGAGCAGCAGATGTTTTACAAACAGGTGATGCCACAGAACTGATAGCAAAAAATATGAATTACAGATTCTTAAAGGTGGCCTACATGGCGGCCCGGTAGTGCAGTGTTTAGCGCTTGTGCTTCACTGCAAGGCTGTGAGTTAGATTCACCTCCAGGCCTTTCTGTCTAAAGTTTGCACGTTCACCCCATGTCTGCATAGGTTTCCTCCAGGTGCTCCGGTTTCCCCTACTACTAAAAACATGTACAATGGGTCTGGTAATAGCCTCCATAGGCGACCCTGATCCCATCTCGGTGTGGAGTGAGAGAACAAATGGCCACAATTGTAAAGCGCTTTGTGACTCTGAGAACACTTATTTACTGATTCCTTTAACTTTTGCTCACATTTATGCTGCAAGATTATTTTTTTTGTAAATCAAGCGAGAAATGCTTCCAAACTGTTGATCCTATATCATCCCAAACACTACTGTGACATAAAGTAAAGCCACCATTGCACAACTGGGCCCATGTCACAATAAGCTGCAATTTTGGCTTTTTTTCAGTCTTTTAGTATTGGCAGATAGTGAAAGCACTTTTACCAGCACTGTAGAACACCTCAGTTAAATTCCGCACAACGACGCTAATTGCAAACTCTGCCTTGTCTCGACCAAACATCCCTTGTGTGCTTGCAAGTGTATGGTGTCAAATCTGCGTCCACTCCATTGGGCAACAAATTACGCAGACGTCACTCAACTCTGCTTGCGGTTTTGTTTTGTCTGGCCCTGTCCTGTGCTACTACTGCTCATCAGGTGTACATAATCAGCTCGAACAAATTGGACAGACGCCTTTTGTTGTCACCGCGTGGCCATCTTCGAAATGACTCCAATTACAGAGGACATGATATCACTTATGACAGAACGAGATTGGACAAGACCTAGCTAGACTGCTCGACCTTGGAAATCAAATAACCACATCTTTTTTATTCATTTCAATAATATTAGCATTTTTTTCCCGACTCGGCAAACCAGGTGATTGACGTTGTAATTTAGTTTGACACATGCCCACATAAGACAGTGTGGGGGTTTCTGTTGACTAAGCATCCAGACCGATCGTCATCGCCCCAATTAGCCTAATCTTTTCGAAAATGCAGAATAGCAAGAACTAGCGAGCGATATTCAAGGTCCAAGGTGCTTGTCATATTTAGTTGATGAATTAGATTGATGATGACGTTCGGAAAGGTGTGTTTTTGATTGGCTGGCGTTTGCAAGGTATAACAAATTCATTATTCAGTGTGGAGGAATTGCATACATTGGGAAAATCTCTTCTAAAAAATGCTGAACATGTCATTAGTTTGAAGACCCACACAACAACGTGGCCTTAAATATTGGATCCTTTTTATGTCGTGGTCAATAATATAGATTTTAAGATAAAACACAGGATTATGGTAAAATGTTTTGTCGCCATTTCAATTTAGGTTATAAAAATAAATAAGTTTAACTTTCAAATTTCATATTTTTAAAATGTTAGTTTTCATCCACCAGTTTCCAATTTAGGGTACCACATGTTTTCTATGTTAAAGTAATGTTGCCTGTGAATTGCATTGAAGAACATAACTTGAAGTGTGGACTGAAAATGTGTTTAGAAATAGCTACAGTTAAATCAAATCAATCACATTTTATTCATAGAGCCCTTTACAACACTCAAGGCACCCTTGTGCTTTTCATTCATTAAAACATTTATATAGTGCAAAAAATTAAGGTTAAAAAGCATTTAAAAAGTGCCACCATGCTAATGAGTGTTAAAAGGAATAAATTGGTTTTGAGCCTTGATTTAAACAAGCCAAAATCAGAGAGCTTGTTCCAGAGTCTGGGGCCGGTCTCCCCAGTGTTTGGACCTGGTCCTAGGTTCTAACAGGAGGAGCCCGAGTCACCAACAGTCAAGAGCAACAATAGTCCGTCAAGACCTTGGCTGACAAAGTGCCACTCATAGCTTTCCGCAGTGTTTACGTGACTGAAAAATCTTTGACTGAAGTAAAAAGGAAAATGGAACAGAAATATAAAATTTGCAATTGGATGTTTTGGGTTTTAGCTTCCACATCTGTTTTCTTTAAGAACTTTTATTGCCATTCTGTTTTTCTGTATGCCAGTGCCCCTGCAGCAATGTAAATGTATGCTCCTCTGTGATCTCAAACACTTGCTCTTCTGTATTCTCATCTCATCAAAAGTCCAAGTCTGCCTCTGTAAAAGACCCTTTTGTCTCTCTTCGCTAACGTCTAAAGGGATCAGATTGAAAAATTGCATTTAAATGTCGACCGGCGTGACAGATATGACACAGATTTAATGCGGGTGCAGACACTTTTCCTGCATTTCTAATTGTGTGAATATATTAGGATGTAATGAAACAATGTGGGTGTTCGCAGGGCATGATGTACCTGGAGGAAAGGAGGCTGGTGCACAGAGACCTCGCTGCCCGGAACGTGCTGGTTAAATCGCCCAATCACATCAAGATCACGGACTTCGGCCTGGCACGGCTTCTGGACGCAGATGAGAAAGAGTATAATGCGGACGCTGGAAAGGTTGGTGTCATCTTTTTTTGTCAAACCTTACAGTCTAAATACCATACATTGGATGGGAACTGGATATTCCTTATGTTAGCAGACTGATCAGAGAGTTCATGGACTTATATTTATGAGGGATTTTTCATGAAAATAAAATACATTGTTATTATTGGCTGACCATTCCTTCCCACACTGACCAAGATAGTTGTGGTGATGCTCACAACAAACTACTTTTTCAGTCCTCACTAAATTGACATCCAAATAAGATCCAATCTTGAACCACTATCAGCCCTCAAAGCCTTGTGTTGTGATGAAGCGCCTAAATGGTTTTATCTAAACTTTAATTTAGCACCAACACAATTTCCCGACGCCTTCATCCAAAGCAAATAGAACGGCCATACTTCCAATCAGTCTGTTTGGGGAGTGGGGGACTGCCCATGCAAATCCCCCTCATCATTCTGCTTCATTACAGAGACTCGCTCTGTATGGACTTATGCAGCTATTTTTATTTTGATCAACATTGATCAAGCTTTTAAATGTTATGTCTCCTTTAAAAAAGCTTAAAAGTCTGCTTTAGTGAGAATCTATGATCTCTGTGGCTCATTATCATATTTAGTACGTTTGAAATATACGTAATATATATTAAATATCAATATTTAATCAAAATATATATTAATGAAAAGATACGCATTGGCACTATTCTGTGTTCTGCGGAAACACATCAAACGAATGGCAGGATTTCCAAAGATCACAGGTAAAGTTAGCGTGCAGTAGATATGTTTTTGGTTCAAGTACAAGTTTCTACACACCAATGAATCCCTTAGAAAACATATTTAAATACATGCATCATCCTTGGTGGTTGGAAAATGGATTTCACTCAATAGTGGTGGTAGGTGGTACATGATCATTTAAAGCAGTGTAATGTCATTCACTGTTTGCTCAAAAAGTGCCTCAAAGATTCATAACTGCAACGTTTGAGCATAATTCAACTTTATTCAACTTTATTAGTGGCTGTGTGTGTACAAACCACTATTTTGCTCACAAACTCCTGACACTGTGATAGAAAAGATGAAGCTACAGGACGACCGTCATTACAGACGTGAAACAGCATTAATCACACACTATCCATTCTTACATTCTGAAGAAGACCTTCTGTAGAAACGTGAAAGCTTCTCCTGTCTATGTTTCAATAAAGTACATTCATTTCTCAAGGTAACGAGTGCCGGCTCGGACAATGATTGGTCACTTCACCTGTCACTGCGTCACTGTTTTTTTTTACTTTTGTTATGTTGCCCTTAAAGGTGCCATGTTTTGTTTTTCTTAATTTTTCACACTCCATCATATGCACATGTGTGATAATAATTGGGGTGATACACCATACAACACTCAAAACTTGTCGATTTATAGCCATTTCGTGCATAGAGCTGATGTCACCTCATGTGAAACGAGCTGATCTGTGCTCCTCTGTGATTATGTTGGAATAACACCAGGTTTCCAGATCAGCTTTTGAGTAGATCCTGTTTCAAAGTAACTGTAGTTATTCTTTACTGGTGTCACTGTGGGTTAGGGTTTGTGTTAGAAACATCTGCGAGTTTTGTTGCGGACTTCAGACTTGCAGAACCCCATGACCAAAATCGATCCTCATGCTCCGTCTTCGAGCCCAATACTCTCACATATAAATACACATATTTACACCGACAACAAATGTTCTCCAAGTTGACATGAAGCTAACACAAAAAAGCACAGACGCTTATTTACACGCTGGACTCAGAGAGAGGCTGCAGCTGACCATAGACGGCGCTGATTCGCTGGTTCAGTTTCTCCCCGCTGTCAATCATCTCTTGGAGGCGGGCATTTGACCTCACAAATTGAAACAGCTTCTTTCAAATGAAAGAGAAAGATCACTTTCTAACTGTCTTACCTTGTATCTATGTGAGACATACAAGCTCTTCAAACTGCAAGCGGGCAGTGATCGTTCTTACCAATCAGGTCCTTGCGGAGGTAGAGTGGACGAGAAAGTGGTGTGTTTGTTGCATAAAAGTGTGGATTTATATGAAATCAATAGATTACAAAAGAAAAAAGTAAATGAAGACATTCAATGTAATGTAAATGCTATGTAAATTAGTTCACTAATTCACTAGAACTGTGACTAAAACTAAATATGTTTATTATTCTAAAATCAAAGTAAGTTAAAATCATTTTCAAAGCAGGTATGAATAAATGTTTGTTTGAACATTTTTCCATCTCTGTATTGGATACCTTAACAGACATCTGTGGATAGCTGGGAGAATGTGGAATCAAGTCAGATTTAAAAGAAAGGTGGAATTAAATGTATAATATAATATTTTTTTAAATGCCATCATGAGCCATAATGTGCTCCTTTCAAAGCCACTGATACTGTCTGTATCACAACTGTGTTTTCTGTGTTTCCAAAGATGCCAATTAAATGGATGGCGCTGGAATGCATCCACTATCGGAAGTTCACACACCAGAGTGACGTTTGGAGTTACGGTAAGATTTCTGTATTTCTTTGTGTTTCCTTTTCATAAACCTTTTAATGAAGAATTAGTCATGAACTAAAATGAAAGAAGTAGCCTCAAAAACACATGTTCAAGACTAAATCAAACAAGTTATTGTGATTAAACTATAGATTAAAACTTTTAATCTATTAAGCATTCTGTGAATATAATGTTACAGGAAGAATTTTTAAAAAACACAAAGGGTTTTCAAATAAAATATTGCTTTATATTTGTGCATGATCTGTCAAAGCTTTTGTGCCAATAAGAAAATTGTTCCCATAGGGAAATGTGTCCTTAGCATTTGACCCATCCTTCAGCGCCATAAGGGCCTCTGTCAAGAGCAGTGGGCGCCACACTGTTGCACGGACCTATCATCTGATGAGAAGGTTATTGATTAGGACCAGAGCTGAAAGACTGTACCTTTGCTGCATGTACCTTTGCTGCATGTACTGTACCAGTGTGCACAGAGAGACATAAAACTCCACACAGACGAGCCACAGTGGATGAGTGTTACTCCACTGTGCAGTCATGCAAATGACATGTTTCTAAATGTACATTAAAGCCGTGGATAGTAGTCCTTCTGAAGACAACATGATCACTTTGCTGTGACTGTTCCTCTGCGTTACAGGAGTGACCATCTGGGAGCTGATGACTTTTGGGGGTAAACCATACGATGGCATCTCCACCCGAGAGATCCCAGACATCCTCGAGAAGGGAGAGAGACTGCCCCAGCCGCCCATCTGCACCATCGACGTCTACATGGTCATGGTCAAGTGTAAGTAGTGTGCACAGGACAGGAACATTAGACGCCTAATTATCATCTCTTACAAATATTTTGAAAAAAATCGCCTTTTTGAGTTTTCCACCATGTTAAAACATCGTCCCCACCTCAAAACATATCTGGATTTCATTGTTGCTCCATCCAAGCTGGAAAATGCTCAATTGACTGTAAAGACTCTAGGAAGTTTAGCGCCCCAAACCCACTTCATTCTTGGCTCCACCAAGTCATTTTGAAGTCAATTTCCAGTGCTATCATGTCTTCCATTTTTTTCCTGCTAACTCATTTGCAACAAAACCCAAATCCCCATAGGATTCACAAGCATCTTTTTATTTAAATTTGTCAGCGTGTGTGTGAAATGAAGAAGCCCAGAGAAGATTCCCTGGCACGGTTCACTCAGCCTTTGATCCGTGCGCCGCACAATCTCTTTTATTGTTTCTGATTCGTGTTTGTACACCTCCGCGAGTGAGCCCGGGGTGCTGCGTACTCATCTCAGTTTAATCAAATACTGCTATTTTAATATTCATCTGCTAAAGCGGTATTTCAGCGCTGAGGCTCAAGTTGTATCTGGAGTGTTCCATTCAGGCCAAGTCGTGATCCTCTGACCCTCCTTGTTGGAGCAACGGTTTGACCCGTTGCTTGTAACAACTGTTGCTTTGAAGCTGCACTTTAGATATCTGTACATTTCTATTGTGAGCGCTGCTTGAGTCTTGAGTCAGTGCTTTAGTTGCTCTTGGAAGATAAATATTAATTTGTTTTCATTAGTCTGTGCCAACATAAAAATCCCTGCTTTTGTATTATCTTTTATTCCTTAAAAGAGGCTCTTTTACAACTGAAATATTCCAAGCATGGCTCTGTATGATTGTTCAGCCGCTACAATCCACCGTAAGCGGAACAAAATGTTATGAACTGTGATGTGTGGAAATACTGTCAATTTCCTCTGATGACTCTCCAGAGATAAACCAGGACATAGATCTGGTTAGGATAACCTTAACATTACTTGAGGGCTACTTTATATTTTTGAATTGAAATTAATAGTGTATTAATAGTATATTAGTAGTATAGTAAATGACTTCAGTCATTTATTTTTTGTCATGGATTAGGATTTAATATATCTGACATTCAATTACTGCATATTTATTTGACTGAGACTAATAGCGATATAATAAAAGCCATGAAATGTGTTGACCCTTATGAATATAAGGACATGCGTTTCCTCTGTTCTAAAAGCTCTCCACTAAATGCCAGCCTGATCACCTTCTACCTCTATTAAAGAAACTATACCCGATTTTTTTTTTTTTTTTTATGAGTTCATAAAAATGCTTATTACTACATACAAGTTGTATTATAATCCGTAATTTAATTAAAAACTTGAGCTCATTGATTCAGCTTGTGTATGAATTCAAGCCTTAAAAAGGGCTGAGTTTAAACTTAGAGTGACGCCCGCTCTCCTCCAATCACAGAACGAGGAGCAGCGCTTTTATGAACAGGCTGCGTCCTTCAGCTTCTACAGCGCAAGTGGCTATACTTCCTCTGGCTGTAACTGCAGACACAGAAAAACAGGCCAAACAACGCAACAGTGAGGAAGAGAAGAGGGAACTACAGTGAAAAAATGATCAAAGAAGAAATCAAGCCCGGGTGAACATAGCTAGCTTACATCGTATCCTCTGGAGAGACTAACAGTCAATGGGAGAGACCTGCGAAACCGGTCAAGTCCGACTATCTATGCTCGGACTACATTCGGATGCGAAACTAACGGTAATCTTTCAGTTATATATTTTGTTAGCAGTGCGTTGCTTTTGTACCATTTCATCAGTGATTGTTGTACAGCTTACAAGAAGTTGTGCTAATGCTAATGTTTGCTTTTGTATCAGATCGCAAATAAAACTAGATGGCTTTGTGGGATGAGAGCGTGGGGGAAATGAGAAGCCTGTGAGCGAGTTGGGGGCGGGGCTAAACATTCAAACTGAAAAAAAGCTTGCAGAAACGGGTATAGCTTCTTTAAGAATACAAAGCAGATGTTACCTTGTGTTACAACCCTTCAGTAGAGTAAAGCTATAGGGGAAGAGGAATGTAACATAAAACAAAGATGTAAAATGGTTAATTAAATGGCCTTTAATATAATAGGCAACAGGGAGTCTAAACTAAATCAAAGTACAAACACACAGCCACACTGGCAATCTGAATCTCTCTAAACTTAGTACATAGAATCCCGTCCTGTCAGACCAGTGACAGACAAGACCGTGACGCTGCAGAGACTGATTGGCCGAACGGGAAGATGGCAACCTAATCTCAGAACAGAGGGTGTGGGAGACAGCGCTTTAAACCGGTGCAGAGGGGCAGAGCTGGAGCAGAACATCAGCACAACACAGGAGGGAGTGAAGCGGGGCTAGCGGCCTCAGCACGCTGAGCCTGGTCTTGCTGCAACAGCCCAAACTAACCAAACCAAAATCAATATTCTGCGCATGTGCCATTTGTGCATCCATCCTTCACTATTCATAGGATGACTATATTTCACGAATTAATGATCTGTATAGGTTGATTTTCTTTGGGTGTTAAAAAGGAGTTCTACAACAGTTTTCTGGACAGACGCACACAACAGACAAGGTGTTAGTTTATACTTACAGTGGTGAGGAGGGCAGAACCATGCTGCTTACATCGTTCTCCCCCAGTCACTTCTAACTCACTGCACCTACGAAGTGAGTTTTATTGAAAGATAAACACACCTCCAACACACAATAGCCCCAAAAGTAAAACATTAACCACTTGTTGGACACCGTCTTGCAACATAGTTTCACAAAACACCCCATTGTGGACACTGTGGATAATTATTAGCTTGGTTTCAACACCTCAATGGTACATTTCCACACTCCAATGAAGGTCAAACGAAAAGTTGTCTAGACTATATTATATCTAGATTATACTGTATTCACATTCATTTTAATGATAACTTATACAATTCCATTATCATCAGGAAAACATAACCTTGACCTAGTCACAGCGGTGTCTAGACTATCTATGTGTTTTAAATGCAACATTGTTGTGGCATTTGTTGAATCTTCAAGTAAATGCATTTCTTTGAGCTCAAGTAAAGAATCCCAACTGAACTGTTTAAAATGTACATAATCCACCTGTAAACTAGTTAGGCTAATACACCATAAAACATTGTTTGAAAGGATGCTTGTAACTAAGATGGAAGGAAATGGCATTCACGTCAGTCAGTCAGTCGTCTTGCACCAATTTCTTGTCTCGAGTCTCGAATACGTCCTTCGCTGAGGAGGACACGCTCTAAACAAAAACTCAGGCTGCCTTCACAACACCAAAACGTTAGCCCTTACCCTAACTGTCATAAAGGAGTGCGGATAAAATCATTTTTTCTGCACGTCTGGTGCTTATTCATCTCATCATTTCCCCACTGTGGGACTAATAAATGCCTTCATTCATGTCTCATATTGTTTGTAAGTAAGTCGTCCTTTTTATATTGTGCATCTTGTTGTTTGGACTTTTACAGTTGTTTGTATTTCATCCGGTTTTGTGACTTCTTTGTCTATAAAAAGTGCTATATAAATAAACATTGCTTTACTGCTGGACAATACACACATTATATTATCGCCTAATTTGCTGTGTTTTATTTACATTTTGCATGACTTTTTGAAAACAACTTTGGCATAAGAGCCTTTCCAACTATGTCCACTTCCAGCTATTGGCCGCCTCTCAATACAAAACGTCCAACAGTGCATCAAGTGACATTTGTACACTCTCCAAACGCCCACGCCATCTTCCTCTGCCAAATTTTTCATATTTAATTATCATTCTTTTGGAAAATATTGCCTCAATGCTTTCTCATAATCAGACTAGAATAGAGAGGGTTTCTCCCCATCATACATTTACATTAAAAGAGAATGTCATAGAGTGTACAGCTATTGTCTAAAGTTTACTAAAATTATGTTATGCCAATTTCTTTTGACAGTGCTATGTGAAAGCCCTGCAGCTATCGTTGCTAATAATGTTGCCAACGGTCTTCTCAGCCTCGAGCATCAGATTCAGAATCAGATTAATTTGTTATATCGTCTCCCAGAGGAGAAATGTGTCTTGGAGCAGGGGGGTTAGTAGCACCCACATGAACAAACATATACAGACATAACATAAAACACAGACAATACACACGTTAACATTGGCACAATTGCACTTGATGTTATTTACAGCTGTATGGATTATAGAGTTCTTAAACCTGTTTTGCACGGTAGTACGTTTTTGGCATTGTCCAGGTGCTAATGCTAAAATGACAGCAAAATGCTCAAGGCCATGTATTAACAACCATTATTATTCCTCACAGCAGCAGTAGAACGCTCCATTGATTTGAATGTAATTTCAAAACGTTCTACCGGTCATTATTTTCTATAACGGACCTCTCAAAACAATAATGACCGCTGCCCTTTGGCAACGCACTCTCTGCTTGTCTTTCAAATGCGTGGATAACTCCGCAAGTAGTTCCGGCCACTCCGGAGCTAGACACGCTCAATCAACACACCTAAATGTTAATCGGAGAATACTTATACATATACATTCTTCACACACGTGCACGGAAATTTTCAGAATTTTCTGGTCTTGTCTTCATGACAAAAATACTATTTCTCTGCGTCAAAAAGCGATCGTGAAAAACCCGGAAGTAGTTCCGGCCGCTCAATAAACGCAAATGCCATTCAATCAACGCAATGAAATGTTTATCGGAGAGTGAATTATACATATCCAGTCTTAATACAAGTGCACGGAAGTTTTCAGAATTTTCCGTTTACGTTTTCATGACAAAAACACTGATGTAATGCGAGAAAAGGCGATCCCGAAAAACCCGGAAGAAGATACCGGCACATTTTAGGAACATTTGCAGAGGATGGAATTATGGATTTAGGTTAGGTTTATGTTTAGGTCACTCACCGCTGATGTTCAGAATTCTTTGTTCAGTTTTCATGCAGTTCCAGAGAGTTCTAGTTTGGAAGTTGCCAGCCTAACTGTTGCTAGCATAGCCACAGGAAAGCCTTTGGGAACTATTTTATTTTCTGTCATTAAATAAACCTTTCGGCATTCCTAAAAGTGGACTGAAGTTTATGTTGTGTGTTCTGTTGGTACAAAGCCGTATAATAAGCGGGATAACGTATATTACGCAGGTCATTATCGGAAAAAAAGTACCTTCAGGGCAGAAGCAGACCTTACATAAGCATCCAACAGTCCCATAGAACTCAATTTAAACTAAAAAAGCTCGACCTCATGTATGTAAGCTGTGTCTTTTTTTTTTTAACAAAATGAATCTTTTTTTCCCAGCCTCACCTCATTGTCACCTCTCACAAAACACCGACTCGTCTTTTCCATTACATAAATGTTTTACAGACCGATTGCCAGTTTCAATGTTTAGACTTCATGACCTCTCTGATCGCTACGGCAAGTTGCACTAAACAGTTTCAGTAGCTTCACGATGTCCTGATAAAATGAACAAATTTTCTACACCATAATTTCTCGAAAAGGCGTTGCTGATATTTTCTTTTTCATAACTCATCTGGGAAAAAAAGTCTTTTCACAAAATCATATCTACTCTTGTAAGGTGTTATTTCTGTGTCAAAATGATGACGAAATGATAATTATACCACTTTTGTGTTCTTACAATGGATGCAAATAACAGGTTGAAAACATTTTCTCGTTTTCATACCAAACTTTAGACATATAATCCACATTCTCTCTCCCACTCTCCAGGCTGGATGATTGACGCAGACAGCAGACCCAAGTTCAAGGAGCTGGCGGCCGAGTTTTGCCGAATGGCGCGTGACCCACAGCGGTACCTGGTCATTCAAGTGGGTGCATTTCATTTCCCGTCACAAAGTCCAAACTGCTTTCTCCCGTGAAGTTCTGCAGAGTGAGTTTCTCTGGTGGTTTTTTTTTTTTGCGTTCACAGGGGGATGACCGCATGAAGCTGCCCAGCCCCAACGACAGCAAGTTCTTCCAGAGCCTGTTGGACGAGGAGGACCTGGACGAACTGATGGACGCTGATGAGTATCTGGTTCCCAAAGGGTTCAACGGGCCTCCGCAGTCCAGCTTGGCACGGCCCAGAGTCGACTCCAACCGGGTTAGACCACTTTTTTTTCAGTGGCCCCTAAAAATATTTGCAATTATTATTATGAACTTACGCATTAATGGTTATGGGCTACCAAGGCATGTATTACATATAATCTCAGGAAATCAACCACATTCAACGATTCCAAAAATTTTTACCCATCATTAGAAGTGAATAAATGTGTTTAACTTTATATTTGGTTCAGTTTTGGTTCAATCTAAACAATAACACACTTTGTTTTCAGAAAAATAACCAGAAAATAATAGAAACTTATGTCACATTAAAGTCATGTCAAAATACCTTCTTTCGGCCCACGACCACAAGGTGATTGACACCCCTGTTCTAATCCAATTCAAAGTAGACACTATCCTGTTTGGAGTTTGTATGTTCTCCCCGTGTCTGCGTAGGCTTCTTCCGGTTTCTCCAGTTTCCCCTCCTACTAAAAACAGTACAATAGTTATGAGTGAGTGAATGGGTGGGGTTTGTTGGGGGCTTTGTTGCCGCTGTGTGTTCCGCATCTCGCTTCTGTCATCACTGCGTGGAGAGAATGGAAAAATATCTATAATCTGAACATTGTAAAGCGCTTTGGGGTAATCTTGGTCTGTAAAATGCACTATTTAAATAAACATTACTTACTTACTAACTTTGCTTATAACACAAATTCCCAATCCTCTGCCCCTTCCGTCTAAATGCTCTGTTGGTGAATTCTCCCATCCAATTCAATTTAGTTACAGCAGATACCGAAAGTTAATGTGGATTGTTATTTTTAAGAGCTAATAACAACCAAATGTCAAGCAAAAAACTGGCAACCCTAATGACAGACTCATTATTCTAATCTAAAAAAGCATTTTCTCCTGTCGTCCCAATTAGTGCTTTCCGTAAATGCTGTAAAGCCACCATTTTCCTTTTGTCTTTTCACTAAACTCTTCTTCACTCTATGATTCTCACTTAACGACGGCCGCTCTCACTGTCCTTTGGAGGTGCTCAAGGTGCCTCAGAACTTCCAATACTCTCCTGATTTGCCGCTAATGGCCCCCTCCATCATCCGCACCTCTGCACACTCCTTTGTGTGTGTATGTGACGAACAATAGGCTCTTCACGCCGCAACTCCCCTGGCCGCAACTTTCATTACTCAGGACTCCATGAGCAAACAGCGCAGTCACTGGAATAATAGCCACCCGTTAGCTAATAGACAGTGGGATGGGCTGTTTGCATTGCTGCTATTGGAGCTGACGTACACTTCTAAATGCAGTGACCCAGCACCATATTCCCTAATGGATGCTTATTACATATATTCAAGGACGGCAGCTCCATCAAGTCAAAACTTTCCACTAGGGAACATCACTTATTTCCCAACAAACTCTAAGATGGCAATATACACGTACAAGTCATGAGAGAAATATAATTTAGAATTTTCATTAATTCAATAATTCATTAATTCAACAATTATTCTATAATAACAGCATAAAGAAGCAACCAGCTGTTAATGTGCAAACTACTTTACCACGGCCATTTTTTGCTGTTCTTTTCCGAAGGAATTAGAAAAACAATTTTATCTGGCCCATTTCACACTCACTACTGTGAAATGGATGGATCTGAAGCATCAGCTGGCCATGCCATAGGAATGATCACAAGTTCAAAGAACAAAAGTCCGAGTCTTCTTTTATTGAGTCCAGGCCCTAATCTTTATACAACTGACCACACAATAAGAATGGACCGTTTGATTTAGTAAAACCTCTCTCTAAACGTCTAAAACGTGCTAACTCTCTCACATCCTGGTAGCTTTCTATGCTGTTTTGCCACCCAATTATGTGACCGGCGCGGAAAAACTAAACAACAACGTCACTCAAAGATCCTCCTATTATCTTGTATGTGTGGATTGAAGCATTAACCGTATTTATCATTGGTATTAAAATATGGTTCAGGAGGAAAACAGTAGGCAGCTTATTAAATTATAAGTTATATTCAAGTTGTCGAGAGCCAATACCAATCCTGTTCCATAGAAGTAAGCATAAAACCGTGCGTTTGTAAAACTTTGTGGATCTGTTCGTAATGGAACCGTACTTTTCACCCTCAACCCTATTAAATGGAACACACACACCCCACAACCAGTACAATCCAAGTTCATATATTTGTACTTCTCCATTGGAACTCTACCAGCTTCCTGAAAGTGCAATTTTTCTTTTCCACACAAAGTTAGTAATTCATCTGGCATTCTGTTATCTAATCCAATTTGCTCCTGGTACTTGAAAAGAACTGTGATAATGTCTCTCTCTGATGCGTCTGGGCAGAAGGGGGCTGATCAGAAAGGCATCGGGAGTAGGTGGATAGACATCTCCCTGGATGCTTCCTTTTTCCTGTGTTTTTCCTGTAATTGCCGCAGTAGCTTGCAGTTGGCAGAGCCAGGCCTAGGTGAGATAGCCCACGGCAGGTGATAGCGTGTTCGCCCTTACGCTCACAGTGTCATGCTTTCTGTTTTCTTGTGGGGCTTTCTGTTCTTTGTGGAGGTTGAGGGGTTTCTGATCCACCGGTGGTCCCAGGCGGGCTGCCACGCACACAGCTTCCTCTTGCACACATCTGCGCGGGTTAAGAGCGCTGCCTTTGCTCCAGGTGATAAAACAACTGGTGCAAAAAGTGCTTCCAAGTTGAGTTTTTTTGGCAGCAACAGCAGAAATGTTTGGTGAACTCTAGAACTGGATGTGTTTCATAACATCTCTTCTACTTTGATAACATTAAGTTTAGTCTTTGTAACTCATCTTGAGGACGGCTTGTCAGTAGCTTGCCCATGACATGGCCCAATGTACCCCTCTGCGGACTGCGTTTCTTCAGAAATAGTTTTTTTTTTTACATTTTATTGTTTTACTTTCATTGTTTTAGTATGCCCAGTGTTTCCTCTGCACTGGGAGTTGAGGTCTGCTCTGGCTACGGGGGTCTGGCTCTTGGATTTAGTGGGGGTCTGGGGCCTCCTCTCTCCTACATCTGTACCCTATAACTTTTCATAGATTACTACTACTAACGTGGTGTGTGTGTGAGTGTGAGTGTGAGAGTGTGTGTGTGTGTGTGTGTGTGAGTGTGAGTGTGTGTGTGTGTGTGTGTGTGTGTGAGTGTGAGTGTGAGTGTGTGTGTGTGTGTGTGTGTGTGTGTGTGTGTGCGTGTGTGTGTGTTAATATCTCACTCAGACCTGATGTGTGTGTTAGAGGTCTTAATATCTCACTCAGTTATTGAAGTTGTATGAGTTATTTTTGTGGGGGTTTTTGTTAACACTGGTTCATCCTCCCCAAAAAGGTGACTGAGTTACTAACGGAGTACCTCCACTAGTAAAAGTAACTAGTTTACCAGTAAAAGTAACTATGGGCGGTAAGCTCTTTATCGGTTTGTGGATCTGGAAACTGATAATGTGACAGTTCGAGCGCGTGTCTGAGCGATTTTTACCATTTAAGAGTGGCACCCAATAGGTCCATCTAGACATAAGGGCTGTTTTGGGCATGGCTGAGGTGCCGAGTTTCACGTATCTTCATCTCGTCACTAAGCACTAAACCCAGCCAACTACCCGGCCACTGTGAATGTGGACACAGCGGTGACGAGCGGTGAGGCTGGTGAAAGCACTGACTTCATCCAATCAATGAACAGTATACAAATCCATATAAAGCAAAGTGGCCCATTTGTTTGGCTTCAGCAAAAATATGTTTTAAATGCCGTGGTTTGTTCATTTCAAAACACAAAACTATGAGTATATTAGGGTTCCTTACCTTATAGCATCTAGGGCCTTAGATATGGACCTGCACAGGCCCACGTTCGGGTCAGATCTCCAGTTCGCTTGTTTTAAATCACCAGTTTTAATGGTTTGAGCGGTTAGGATATGTAGATCCTCCAGTTGGAAAATGAGTCCAAGTGTGTTTGTATAAAAGTAAAAACAAAACGGGTGGGTCCTCCATAAACGCCTGGTGTTTTGCAGCAGCCGAGTGCATGCCAATTTCTAAAATCGAACCGTCTTACACTTTCACCTCTCTTTCTTAGCAAGGTCCTATAGTAATTGAAAAATGACCCTATGTGCTTTTTAGGATGTAGGTAAATAGTTGTGTATATGTATTGGTAGCCAAACCTGGTGCTGTTCCTTAGCAGATAAACCAGGAGGAGAAAGGAAGGCTTATTATCGATGGCATTTTGGTATGCAGGCCGAGCTTCTGTGCTCCCACATGCCGACTCCTCCTGCTGAGTGCTGGTACCGCATCGGTGATGACAGAGCCCGGTGTGCTAAGGCAGCGAGAGTATGACCCATATTTGTTTGCAAGAAACACAATTTATGACCTGTAGACAGGTAGATGGTTAAGGAAATTATGTTTTACCTTCAGCCAATCAGTTGGCGGAGAGGGTTTTGGACCTCCATTCCTCCCTTCTCTTCAGTGACTAACACGTTTCATTGATGCGTCTTGAGTACGGCGCAGTAACGTGAATGTCGGAAATGATAGACGGCGTTAGTAGTTACTGTCAGAGGTAAATTAGTTAGGGATTACGCGATTTACTGGAAAAAAGCTACAACGGGCTGTTATGCCCATGCAGCTGTGGTAAGGTAAAGATTAAATATAGGAGATATCAATTCCAGGAAACGTATTGGGACTTTACATGAACACAGACTTCAATGTTTGCTTATGATTACACTATCCCATTAGAGCCATGTTTCAGATTAGAAACTGGGCATATGATAGAATAGTATGCGTAGATTGAGACTCTTTAACCGAGAAACACCCTCAGGTCTTTTAGGACGACGATCTTCGATGTTGTGGTTTTGGCAAACTGAATCAGATCGTCATAAGTGGTCCACCCCTTTTCCTTTCTGATATCTTGTCTATTATACAATACACAACCCGGTTTTGGGAGGTTCCTCCCACAGCGCATTCATTCAATCTTCTGTAGCATATTGCCACCAGCTCATATTAACTTCTGTTTCATTGATTACAAACCCCGATGCGGGACAGGGCGCCGGCACATGTCATAGCCTCACTAGCATGTGGTTTAAGCAGTCGTATGATCCATAACGCTGTCTGTCGACACAATGCTTGCGCTTTCCATGGTCTTTGGATATTCTCGCGCACAATCCCTAATAGAACGGCATCAGGAGCAAAGACGCACTTCGGATGCCATCATGTCAAGGAGCAACAAAGAGTGGGAAAAAATCAATAGATGTTATTAGGCACACTACTGTTATCATGTGCAGTGAAAGTTGGTGAGGATGGGTTCATTTTCCTGGTGTTTTCCCCCTCCGACGGCCGGGATGGAGTGGTGGCTGGTGCCAAGGAGGGTTTTGATTGGCATTTATGCCCGTCTGGTCCTGAAGAGAATGCTGTAGTTATTTTCATTAGCCACTCGTCTGGCCGTTAAGCTTCAGCGCTGATTAAGGCAAGCATGTTAGTTGTCCCTTCTTTTTCAGTTTATACAAACCAAATGTAAATAATGTTGTGATATGTGCACTTTTAGCATGAAGTGTCGGGCGACATTTTCCAATATTATTCCGACTATCTTGAAAACCGTTTCTGGATTTGTAATACTTCGATCATAAGCGTGTGTAAGGGCCAGGCTGGACGTTAGTTTGTGCAAACAGTACAAACATAAAATGAAAAGCACTTGAAAACATTTTTATGGTATTAGGCAACAGTGTCATCTTTGATGTTTCAGTGTCCTCCCTCATGTCCTTAATGAGAAACATTTTTCTTTAATTCAAATTGTTTTTATTATGCATCACTTTCCTGATGATTTTCCTAGGTTCTGTCCCTGTCCTCATAAACCGTTCTCATTTTGAATTTTCTTCTTGCCCGCGCCGCTATTCGTGTCCCCGCTCGCCCTCTGTAGAATACCTGAACCCGATCGTTGGAGAACGCCGTTCGTCTCGGCGCCGTAACAAAACGGCGGACAATCCATGCCTTGGACCAACCCCGAGCCTATCCACAGCACCCCCCAACAACCAGCCAAGGCAAGGGGGAGGATGAGTACATGAACGAGCCCCTCTAGCCTCAACACCTATCCAGCATCCCGTGGGCGGATCGAGGGCTTATGAAGCCTCAGTGGGAGGAACGGCACTGCCATTACCCTCCCAGAACCGCCTTCCTTCCATCATCCGCGCACCATCCGCTCAGGATCCCATCTTCCGTTTGCCCATGCCAGACCAGCTTGCGGCATTACCCGTTACCCCCCGAACAGCGGCGCTTCGCATCTCGGCTGGCTTGGGCTTGCCCTATCAACCTCCCTTGCCACCACACTTTGAAAGCCGGTCAGCTTGGGTAACGACCCCAACCAGTGGTCAAGGCGGCCAGATCGGAACGGTCGGCCCAAGTTTCACGCGAGGTCAGTCGGTACTACACGTCTACGTGTCATCAATCCGATGGCCATCGGCACGCCTCTTGTCCCAGCCTAAACCAAGCCATCGGAGCGACTCATGAGCTTCCCCGGCGGCCTGCTCAGAACATGGCGGCTATACGACAGGGAAAGGGAAGTGCGCAAAAAGCTCAAGGTTACGTGTGACAGATCCCTGAAGTAACTGGCATCACCAGTTTGAGCCGTCAGAAGCTCCTCCGCGCAGATGGTAGTGGTACGGCGCACTAGGAGTGGTCCGCTACCACCTACCAAGCATGTTTCTACCATAGCAAAACGGACACTTAACGACCACCCACGGTGGCAGAGAATCCTGAATACAGGTCAGAATGTCTCGCGCGCTCAAGAACCGGGTACTAGTTCTCCCCGACCAGCCACATTGACCGGTCAACGGAAACACACTAGTTGTCCTAGACTCCGCTACCTTAGAAGACTTTGTGGCTAACCGAACATCTCTCTTTATCTACCCCGCAAATCCACTGTCCCAGATCGCAGGGCGGGTGCGGGCGAAAAAACTTTGCCTGGCCAAACCCAAAAAATCCCAAATAATGGGCCTATCCAGCTGGTAGACTGTAGCGACGTTCCAATGGAGAAAATCATAACAAAGTGCAGAGACACCTTTAACCATTCTCAAATATCCATGTTTGGTTGGTAGATTGACTTCATAGCTCCTGTGAATGAGCCATGGGTGAGCTATTCCTGGGGACGTGTCTTGAAGGACTTGAACCTCACGGCCTTGCCATTTGGAGTGGAGTTTTACTATCAGTTACAATAATCCTCTGCTGGGTGAATGAAAAGCGAGATCCAACTGTGTCTGTGGACAGAGAATGACGGAGGTTTGTTCATGGCTCGGACGGGAGCTGCCCAACGCAATCATATCCAATCGTAGTTGCCTATTCCTATGTTAATGGGGGTTTGTCCATTCTCACCATCAGATATGTGACATTACCTGTATACAGAACTGTATACGGTGATACTGTGAGTGGCCAAAAACACCAACTGTCTTATGTTTACTATTGTTATGTTTTTGTGCTTACGGTGTGGCCGGTGAATACGCTAGACCGGCGCACAGCTAGTGTCCTGGATAGGTTAGAAAGGCTGATGTTGAAAAACGCTCTGGTACTTTATGTAAGCAACACCGGGCGTTATGTTTTGGGGAAGTTTTGGTTTAAAGCTACTGTAAATGAAAAGTAAAAAATGAGAGAAAGAAATGGCCGACAGCATCAGGCACAAAACCAGGTAACTTAGAAACATGGCACAGGGTAATTTAAGTATATCAAATATCATACATTTATAGAGATTATAATGTGATTTTGGAAGCTTCCAGTTGCTGATGAATTAACGATTAGTTGGGACCTAACAGCACACAAAAGTAGTATTGTTCAATGAGATTCAGCTATTAATACATGTTGTATATTTAAAAATTGTCGCCAAGTCTAATGTCATGATGCATAAAAGGTAAATTGAATTGGATTGATTCTTCTTTGTTAATTATTATGTCACAGATTCTAATATATGCTACAGTTATTGCATATTCTTGTTGCAATTTAGGTTTTTGAGCGCGGGGAGCCAAATCAGGTCTGAGTCAGTGGATTTGCCAATTTGGGCCGAGACCCGACATTTAGATTAAGCTCACGTTGTTTTTAATCGAATGGTGGAGGACAGAAGTACATATTGTCCAAAAGTTTCAATAAATGGCAACGGTTAAGCATTCCGTTTGGAGAACGCACAATTTTTGAAAACGCTGTGGCATGAAAAGTGGTCATATGAAACAAATGAGCCAGTATATGTTTCTGGGGCCGTTTAGGACGGTGAGGCGTACATAACGGTAATATTTTAATAATTTTTATGTCATCAGCTTTGAGTGTCAACTTTAAAACAGTCTGCCCATTCTGACTGGAAACGCTCTTATAATGGACGGTGATTTTGCGTGGTTAACTGATAGACATTCAACTCCCCGCTCGACAGAGTGGAAAGCATATTACATTTAGCAACACCCGAGGGTCCCAAAGGAGTTCTCACCACTCTACTGAAATGTAGCAAAGTGCCAGTCAATGCCTGCTAAAAAGCACTGTTTAGAGCCAGTTACACCTCCTTCCAAGCCATACAGAACACTTGCAAGAACGACATTATGATATCCACTTTATTTTAACATATGTGATATGCTAGCTTGAAGTCTGTTTGCGTTTTTGTATAATATGATTTAAAGTATTGTACCGCGTGATGTTTTTTTGTTTCTCCCTCGCCCTTCTAGCTACTTGGATCAAATTTGTTTTTTAAAAAGTCAAGCGGAAACTACCCGGTGATGGTGCGTACTTGCCGAACGCGCCGGGCTTGGAGTATGGCCCGTGGTTATCGGCGGGTTTTGTTAAGCATCAAACAGTATATGCTACCACCGCATGCTTTGGATTAATCCTAAAATCTTGAGACGACGGGTATTTTGTAGTCCCTGTACGGAGCCGTAAATTGAAGACGGGGACAACATTAAATATGTGTGTGAAATATTATAGAGAGCTTGTTTATATGCAAGATGGAATGGCCAAGAAAAATGGCGATGGTGTTAAGTAATTTGCTCTGTTCGTTTGCATGTTGGAAGGATGCCGGACCCAACACTGGAAAGGTGGTCGCAGGAGATATGGGAAATTCAGATGAGATGCCAGACCCGGATTGTTCCTGAGTGCCCTCACAAGGCGGGGCTCCCCGGGGGAACTTTGGAAGGTGCAAAATTTCGGAGGCAATAGAATATGTGAACAAGTTTACAGTATACAAGGGAATAAAAACAGGACGTTTAGCAAGTAAATAGAATGGCACACTTCTAGCTCAGTGGGAAATACTATTTTTCCATGATACTTCGAGAACTATATATAGGTCAAAATATGTATGTACTGTATCAAGTACATCTCCAAAACTGATTTTTAGCTGTATGAGGAGTTCCCCTACCAAACAATCCCTCTCTTATGTAGGCTGGATAATTAATTAAATCACAATGTGTTTCTCATAGAAAAATTCCTAATCGTGACACTTTACTCAGGACTATTCTAAAACAACAAGAATTTTGGTAAAACATAGACTCTATATTTTTAAGTTAAAATTGTTTTTGAGGTTCACATTTTAAAGATAAATCCCCCTGCCCTTGTCTGATGGGTAAATATAAACTCAATGTGTTACTTCAATTGGCTTAAGTAAAATGGACATGATACAAAAGCTTTCTTGCTTTTACTTTTATACATTCATCCAAGCGAGTTTTCTATTCTCTATTTGATGAC